TCGATTTAGCCGATTTCTTTTTCGTTGTGTTTGTAATTGTTATGACAAAAAATAAAAGATTTTTCTTTGGGAAAACCCACCGGAAAGTCGTTTTGGACGGTATTTTTGTATGAAAATCTAAATACTATATAATATGATTCAATATTTTAATATATAGACATGACCTCTTCGTGATTTTATTCGATTTACTAGCGTTGGCTTTATCCGCGGTCAAACGTCCAAAAGAAAAAAAAATCGTCTCTACCTATACTAGTATTATAAATTTATATCTACATGTAGTACCTATGCGTAAATGCATTTCCCAACATTAAAAAGATATGCGAACATAATCATGTTTTTATTGATCACACTAAATCTCGTCAATAAAAAAAAAAAGAAAATCTGTTGTCAAACAGAGGAGAAAAAGGTACTGAACTATTTTGTCTATGCCTATTTTATATATAGATTAAAAAAAACTAAATAAAATATAATTCTATTTTTAAAATAATTCAAAGTTTCTTTTTCCAAATAGAAGATTGTTTTATAAAAATGCCTTTTTTTTAATATTTTTTGGAAATATATGGAAGCTTTTACGATATGTTGTAAAGATAAAATAGCTGTTTATGTAAACGTTTATGAAATATGTATTGCCTTATTCAGTACGAGGGATCACTAGCGTTTCACGTCAATTTACAGACCGCGCTGGAGATATGAAGGCAATAACTCTACGCTATCTGAAAGGTTCTGAGATTGCAAAGTAATCTATCGAAATCAAATTGAATTATATACAAGGTAAAGTATTCTATTTGTATCTAATATCTGATTTACGAAGTTTAATATTCATCCTACTGTGTGGTTTTTATAAATAAACTAGCGACTCACCCTCGCTCCGCTCGGGTTCGTCCCTGGGGTGGGGTCTGGGAGGACCACCCTTATCCTTATCACATAGGGGTATGGAAAATAGATAGTAGCTGATTCTCAGACCTACTGAATACGCATATAAAATTTGGTAAAAATCGGTAAAGCCGTTTCGGAGGAGTACGGTAACAAACATTGTGACATGGAAATTTTATATATAAGATAAATAAATATGTTGGGACATTAACACACAGCACCATCTAGTTCCATTGTAAGCTACGAGGCCTGTGTTATGGATACCAGATAGTTGATACACTACACATATATAACTTTAAATACATACATATTATAAATATAAACACCCATGACTAGAGTTCAAACATTCGTGCTCATCACACAAATGAATGCCCCCAGCGGGACTCGAACCCGCGACCACTGGCCAGTGGGGTCGCTACAAACTGAGCCAACGTCTAATAATCTTTATAACTCTAACTATAAATCTTTATAACGTGCGTTTTCTCATTTATGTATATAATTCATAATAAATATTTAAAATGGCTGCATGTAAAGAGTGCTGTATGGGAATGTAGCATAAAACCATGTCACCATACTGACATTTTCCACAGTTACTGTAGAAGCACATTGCACCAGGTAAAGCACTTTAAATCCTTTGGTTATGATGTCGCGTTGGCCGGAAAAGCGTAGTGTTTTTTTCTGTGGAATCTTTTTAAACTCCGTTTTCATAAATTAAGCTGTTTTTCTCCTTATTTAAAAAACATTTTTTATGAACTCTACATTTCTATTATAACATATTCATTAGAGAAGTTAGATCTTTAGCGATTCTAGATTTTGATGATTTTCCCGCAGTAAAAAGAATCCTATATATTGACCCGGATAACCAGCTATCATCATACCAAATTTCATCAAAATCGGTCCAGTGATTTTCTCGTGATGCGTTCTCAGACAGACAGACAAAAATTCTAAAAATGAGTTTCGGCCTCTGTATAGATAATAATGACTCTTTCAATAAAATATTTCTATTGATTTCCTATTGAAAAAATATTTAAAGTACAGATTCGACTCAGAATTTTATTATATGTGCCTAATATGTATAGGTAAAAATTTAATTATAAAATAAGCATTATACCCAGAGTACCTATTCGAAAAATGGATCCCTATCACTTTTCTATCTCCGTTTGCTTGTCTGTCTGTCTTCAATGAGTAAATTAAGATTTAACAAAGTCCATATTTAATTTATTTTCTAAAAAACTAAAATATTTTATAACTACATAAGCCTTTCATCTAATTATTATGTTGGATTCGCGTTTCATATCGGCATAGTATATTATCATGGTTTAATATCTATACTATAATAAAACTGTAGAGGTCGAATGTCTGTACATAGAAAAAAAATGCTAAAAACCGAGTCAGGGGGATGTAAGAAGACAAATAGAACAAGTCCAGATTTTTTTCAATTTTTTTGTTTCTCTGTCTGTCTGTTTGTACGGGCTAATCTCCGAATCTATTCTACCGATTTAAATGAAATTTTGCATGGTGGTACCTTATATCCTCGGGCAACATCTTAGATACTTTTCATCCCGGAAAATGAAAGAGTGCCCGTGGGATAGTTAAAAAATTATAGTAACTTATACAGCTTAGTACACAACAACTTATGCACAGCACACAACACCTTATATTGCCGGTCAAACAATAGGTTACTTTTCATCCCGGAAAAATGAACGGTTCTCGTGGGATAGACCTGTCTGTGCTTAAGCTAGTCCGCTAGTATAATAATAAATTTAAATTATATGCCCTGAGACAGACAGGGTGAATGCTGTCTAACAGATTTAACCTGTAGGTAAATGAACCTTATATTTTCGATTGGATTATGATGGTATAAATTAATAAAGGCCTTATCCACACGTGCCACTTTTATTACTGTATAAAAGAAACGAGATAGAATATGTAATCAAAGTTTATTTCTACAAGTAAAATTTTAAACTTGAAGCGAGAAATAGCTAAGTGTCTGTATACGAGTATTTCTTTTTTTACTGGTTAATATTCAATTATTGAATTTGTAAGTGTCGTATCGAAACAATTTTACAATAATATTTGCAGGATTTAAGAACAAAATGTAATTCCATAACTTTGAGCAAATAATATACGGAAGAAATATAACGAATAGTATGAATAAAACATAATAGGGTTGCGAGTTTTAAGTTTTAACATTTTACACGATTTATAAAGTTAAAACCTGTACATTCAGTTCCTGTTCGAACTGTAATAAATCGTGGATTTTCCGTACAAAGGTGTGCTTTCGGTATCACTGGAAGACCTGAATTTTTCATGAAGTATCAAAGGCCTGAAGCTACTACACTTCTTGCGTTAAGGTACGTTGTCACATAGAAACACTGAAAAATGTCTTGTATTTTAAAGTGCGTGAGTAATAAATCACTTTATTGTAAATAATAAATATATATGTGTAAAATATTTTTGTAGGTTTAATTAGATTCTTTAGGTAAAATGCGAGATGATTTTTTTTATATAAACATGTAAATACTTGACTTGCTATCTTTGACTCTTAAACCTTTACTGAAAACCCTCGTTTACGACGTAGTATACATACACGATATGGTAGAGACCATGTAGTCAATAAGAGGTAAACTTTTGCCGAGTGATTATTAAAATAATGTTCTTTGTAAGCGTTTCTCCAAATGTTATGTAATTTCATTTGAAATGCAGCTGACGTATGTAATTGAACAAAGGGGTTACACCGGTTCATGTCAGACAGTGTCACGAGTTCGCACGGGGCTATCGCCAGGTCGCTTACCTTTGCATCTGACCTTTCTAGTCTGGAGCATTACTCTCATGATCTCATCTTAAAGTTGCCATACATTAAAAGTAATCAATAAATCAAATTTCTATCAGATAGTTCGCAACAAACATATAATTAAACATTTGTGTAGGTATTTGAATCCGACACAGATACGAGGGACAGCTCTTTAACACTAGACATTGAAGATTTATAAAATACTAATACTTAGGTATATTAAAAATATAATATGGCGGTGAAAGTAAAAGCATTTGTTAAAGTTTTAACATCGAGTCAAGTGCGGGGTCGAGCTCTATAGAGTTCTTGCTTCTAATGCATCGCTCGCTAAATATTGACACTAAATATTCTGTTGCTACATCTCTTTATCTAGTTTTATTTTTAATATTCTACGGCATAAGACTTTACTGTGTAAGACTTCAAGCCATTTTGAAACCGAGGTCAAGTGTCCATGTTGCCTTTTAAATTTTAATGCATCGCCTGCCACGTATTGAGATGATGTCATTTAGTAAATGCATTTTGCGTTATGTTCTTGCATGATGAACACTTGCGTGATTCACTATTTTTTTTTTTAATTTAAATCTAACGTATTTTAAAATTGGTATTACATAAGTATAAAATAATTATTTTAACGTAACGAATCATACATTCCCCCGGTTTGTACACTTTACTGTTCAAGTATTTAATTAAATATTCAGTAAATATCTGTAGGCAATAAAATGTAAATATTTAAAGTAATATTAAACAAATGAATAAGACTGCATACAAATTGTACGTGCGACACGCAATTACTACGTATAGGTATTATTATTTCTTTTCAAACCATAAACACACTTTCTGTAAAGTCTATTAATTATTTTGGTTATTTACTTGGAGTGTTGCATGCGAGTGTAAATAATGTGAGATAAGAGTGTACAGATCTTGTGTTACCTATACATATAATAAAATTGTAACCAAGCCGAATCTGTACATTAAATATTTTTTGGAAAATCAAAAAAAAAAGGAGGCCGAATCTATAGTTTTTAGAATTTTTGTCTGTCTGTTACCGCATCACAGAAAAACCACTGGAGGGATTTTGATAAAATTTGGTATAGTAATAGCTGGTTATCGGGGTCAACATATAGGATACTTTTTACCGCGGGAAAATATCTCATTTCTGAGAAAAAAGACAAAAACTGCATTGTAAGAGCATATATACTAATATGTAAAACCTAAGAATTTAGTTTTTGGTCATCTAAACGCGGGCGGAGCTGCGGGCAATGCTATTACATTAATATATATTTTTAAAACGGCCTTCATTCTCAACGTCAGGTGCTAATTTACACGAGTAAAAATGTCATTTCCTCTTCAACAGCAGGAAATGAAGTACAACAACATCGCAGAGCACTCCAGTCCTAGGGCTATGAAAAATCTGCGACAGTGTAAAAATCTGAGGTAGTGTAAATATATTTTTTATCGGCTTACAATCTTTAATTAACAAACATAGTTTATCATATAGACTAGCATAGATAATAATAATATGTTCTCAATACCATTAGTATATTTCTGACATGATTACCACTTGCCTTACGATGAAGGAAAACATCGTGAGAAAACCTAGCCAGTTTTCTAAAAAGACATATGAAGTCCGCCAACCCGCACTTGGCCAGCGTGGACTATGGCCTGATCCTCTCGTATTGAAGGGTGGTCCATGCCCAGCATCGGGACATTAAAAAGGGTTGAATATATACATACATACATTATTATATTAATTACATAATTATATTCAAGGCATTGAACGGTATAAATACATATACACAATTCAAATATTATATATTTATTATAAGCTTTATAGTTTATACGTATTGCAGCGTTTTATAGTTCTTATTGTATTAAAAATAAAGTTGTTTTCGCATTACAGTGCAAACAGCAGCCGCCCAGCAGACCGTACACTGTACCAGTGTACAGCCAAGCCTCCCCGCCTAACTATCTTTCAGCATTTCATTTTCCGCTTAATACAACCGCTACGACGCTCGACGATCTCTCATTTTAATTTTCACTGCAGCAAATTATTTTCGTCTAGTTTTATCCTGTTTTGTACTCGCTTTGGTATTTTGTTGCACATGGACTTGACTGGGTTTAAATGAGATTGTATTAAAAAATAATAAATATGTTGTTATCGAAATACAAAGAAACCTTTCGTATGTAAATATTTAAAAATTAAACTAGGTACATAACTTACAAATTATACTTATATTGATTGTAAATAGTATTCAATATTGAATATATACCGGATAAGAATATAAATGAATATTAAATGACTGGTATATTTAAACCCATTGTTTAAAACTTCGAAAATAATTATGAAAAACTGGATTTACTGTATTTCTTTATATAAATAACCGACACATTTTTTCATAATCATAGAGCTACCCTTTGAACAGTGGTAATTATTTTTCGAGACCAAGTTGCACTATTCTCATACCACTACCAAACAAACTGTTAAAATATTTTGAATCTTAATGGTTTATTTTTAAGGAACATTTTTCAAGTTTCAAATTGTTTGTGTTTACCCAAGAACAACAAGTTAAAGAGATGAATTATAAGTAAGCACAGCCAATATTTATACATTAAGAGAAATTAATCGCCTGATCATTGAAAAGTGCAACGATAATCTTGTTAGAAATTACTAGTAGTTATTAATAGTATGGATCTTTGTAAATAAATAATTAAATATGTTGGGGCATTAACACACAGCACCATCTAGTTCCATGGTAAGCTACGAGGCTTGTGTTATGGATACCAGATAGTTGATACACTACACATATATAACTTTAAATACATACATATTATAAATATAAACACCCATGACTGGAGTACAAACATCTAATCACACAGATGAATGCCCCCAGCGGGACTCTAACCCGCGACCGCTAGCAAAGCAAGTAACGTCACTACAAACTGAGCCAAACGTGTCGTCAAAAATAGTTAATGAGTAGGTAATAACTTTTAATTTAGACTAAAGAATTATATAGACGGAGCCTATCGAAAAAAATGTCGCAGCCAAAAATGGTAGCATGATTTTGTTGTTTATGCTACTATCTTAGCCTTGACGCTCATATTATTCCTTACTTAGTTTTTGATATGAAATGATCATTAAGATGATGTAGGTATCAACAATGTACACCAAGTCGAGTCAATCAGTTCGAAAGAAAGTAAAAATTTTTCTTGAAATTTATGTGAGACCAACATCAAAATCTTTTTTTAAGTCGGTTAAAAGTAATAGTCCGTTAAAATTAATTGTGAAAAGCAAAGTTATCGCGTTTTCGAGAAATTTATCACTTTAGTACCTTTTTTTTTTAACGTTGGGAAATGCATTTACGCACGACGTGTGGGACTCACCGGCGTAATACAGCCAGTACTACCCACTAAAACCCAACAAAACCTTCCCCCGTCTTAATGGGGCGTCGCAGGATCGCTTACGCATTCAACTACGACGCCCTGACTGCAGGTCTGCCGAGGCAGACCACAACGACCATGGGGTTGCTCCAAAGTTCACTCTGCTATCAGAGAAGTACCAGGAGCAACCCGCATGGTACACCGCCCTCCGAAAAGGGCCACCTCCCACCGCCCACCGAAGTGGGCCACCTCCCTGTGCGTTTCTTGGCTTCACACCCAGTTGGATTGCCGGGCACTACTGAGCCCCCCCCACCACGACAAGGTGAAGGCACATTGGGGGGGATCTCTTTAGCACCTACTTTTTACTTTTTACTTATTTATACCTTCATACAATGTTAATATTTGTACTTGGTTAATTTTTTATTTGCAAACCCATGCGCTTATATTTATAGCTAGACGACAAAGTTTTCTGATAGATGTAGAAAATTGCATTCAAGTGACTCCATAAAGTTCATACATTCTCGAACATGCATTCGAACTTTTCAATAGGGATATCAGCGAAAAGAAATATTTGAATGAAAGGCATTAAACAGTATGATATTTCTGCTTCCAGGACAGAAACCGACGGTTAGTTTATAAAGTATGCAGCAGAGGGAAAGCGGAAACAACTGAGCGTTTCATTCAGTAATACAAGTTAGACAGTCTTTCCAAAGGGATTTCTTGGCTTTCATCTCAAGTTAAAAGTAAGTTCAAGAAAGGGGAGGAACAGAGATATAAAGTCACTAATTGACGAAAGAGTGGTGGATCTTGTTGTAGTTCATCTATACATATAATAAAATTGTAACTAAGCCGAATGTGTACATTAAATATTTTTTGGAAAATCTTATTGAAATAGACCTTATTATCGATACAGAGGCCGAATTTATAGTCTTTAGAATTTTTGTCTGTCTGTCTGTCTGTCTGGTACCGCATCACAGAAAAATCACTGAAGGGATTATGATGAAATTTGGTATGGTAATAGCTGGTTATCCGGGTCAACATAAAGGATACTTTTTACCGCGGGAAAATATCTCATTTCTGAGAAAAAATACAAAAGCTGCATTGTAAGAGTATAACTAACATGTAAAACCTAAAAATTTCCTTTTTGGTCATACGAACGCGGGCGGAGCCGCGGGCAATGCTAGTGCAGAAATAAATCGAGAGTTACCCGCCGCGTAGTAATTGAGTTCGGCCTGCACTCCAATTAATTTACGTAGCGGGTACGGTAAATATATCCGGAAAAACCATGTCGTCGGTTTCACCGTCGCCGCGTCAATGCACGGGTGAAAGGATGCCCGACTGATGATGATGACTGATGATGATGAAGTGCAATCGATACACTTATTAAGTTATATTTACATATATATAGATACCAGGTATCTACTAGATGTACGTTCTGCATAAAGATTGTGTTATTAATATCTTACGTAATCTTCATATACAAATCAGTATATAATTAAGTATACATATAGGCTCACCCTCGGTTCACCCGGGTTCGCCTCTTGACAAGTAAAACTAATCTATCCCACGGGAACCGTACATTTTTCCGGGATAAAAAGTAACCTATTTGTTATTGTGATGTATGAACTATATTATTGTGAAGTTTCATTAAAATCCAATCAGTAGTTTTTGTGTAATAAGCTGTATAAGTTACTATAGTTTTTTAACTATCCCACGGGAATTCTTTAATTTTCCGGTATGAAAAGTATCTAAAATGTTGACCGGCGATATAATGTATCAATCACCATGCAAAATTTCATTTAAATCTGTCTCAACAGTTTTGGAGATTAGCCCGTACTCACAGACAAACAAACAAACAGACAGAAACAAAAAAATTGAAAAACACTGGATTTGTTCTATTTCTCTTCTTACATCCCTCTGAGTCGGTTTTTAGTAATTTTTTTATGTACAGACAATCGACCTATACAGTTTTATTATATGTATATTGTATAGATACTGTACTCATTTTAAGTATTATCTCGAAAAAATATATTTAAAAAAGTATACCTTATAACAAATATACCTAACTGTGGTTTGATAATGGCAAAATTGCAATTTTACTACTATAAAAACATTGTTACCAACTACAGTTTCCATACATCACCTTAACCCTAAATTAAAAGACATGAAGGATCGACCCCATCCATGAATATATTTAAGCCTTGATATATAATTTAAAAACACAATAAAAATATTTTTTTAAATAACAAAATAACATTTCAAAGAACACCAGTACTTTACTCTCTTTGAGGTATGACTTTTCAAAAATTTAGTTTAAAACTTGAACTGCATCGTCGATACAATAATAGGTAGGTAATCTGCTAACACATTACACTTGTCGCGGCCATCTGCACATTTCCGTTCTACAGACGATTTTCCTGTTCCCATATATTGAACTGTTAATACCAAAGAGAATTTATTGCAGGTTCGATAGCCACTGAAAGGCCGCCGCGCGTAGAATATCAAATAATTCGAAATCGTTTTGTTCTATACTTAATTCCTATATGGCTTAATATTTTGACCAAGTCTTTAATACTTAGTACCTTTTACGATAATGATGTAAATATAAAAAGAACCATTTACGTTTAATTTTCTTTTCTATTATTTCAAAATAATATTGATTTAGTATTTAGTATAACATATATTGTATTCTTAGATTTCATGTTTTTACTGCTGAGTTTCATTTCGATTTGTAAGTTGCAATTTTTTCATTAAAGGCTACGAATAAATACACTTATTATTTATTCGTAGATTATTATAGGACAGACATGTTTTGGTACACAAACACATTATAATATTTTTAAATATTATATTGCTACTAGCTCTCTACTTAGCCTCTCGGAAAACAAAAACAAACCTATTCCATTAGAACCGTACATTTTTTCGGGATAAATAGTAGCCTACGTATTATTACCAGACTATAATCTATCTCTGCGCCAAATTTCATCCAGATCCGCGTGAAAGAGTAACAAACATCCATACTCACAAACTTTAACATTTATAACATTTCTTAAATCTGCCCTTTTTATCATATTATTGTAAAAATTTTATAGGTATATGAAATTAATTAAAACCTATGTCCTACTTAAATATAAAATACATTAAAACATACCTATGTAAATTTGTTTTTTTTAAATGATGCTTTAATATAATGGGTAATGCAATTTTGGTGGGACTGTATAAATTTATTTATAGAATATACAAAATACAGAGTAAAATAAATAAATTAATATTTCAGAACTTGCTAAGTTGAAAAAGAATATAAATAAAATAGTCGAGGGAAATTTATCATCGGTCTACAAGTTGTAGACGATTACATTCCACGTCTGGAGCTCGGAAGGACTCAATCTCGTGAGGGGATAATCTCTTAGGCAGACTTCCTCATCGATATTCTAAAGGATAATATGAAATGGTTGCTCTTTTGTCAAGAACGTTCTTATGGTAGCGAAATTTTAAGTAGATTTAATAAAACGTACCTACCTATTGCCAATAATCGATAAATATTAACAATAAATCATCCTTAATCCGTGATTAAACTTTAAGTTGTGATTTTTATATCTATACTAATATTATAAAGTGGCAGTTTGATGGTTTGAACGCGCTAATTTTAGGAACTACTAATCCGATTTTTTTTTTTTTTGCATTAGATAACGTGTTAATTGAGGAAGGCTATATATATCATCATTCTACTACCCAAAGAAACGGAGCAGTAATATAATATATCGTCTCTCTATTCCATACGTTCAAACTTATGTACCTAGGACGAACCCGAGCGAAGCGAGGGTGTGCCGCTAGTATTCATATGAAATACTAAAATTGCAATTTTAAGTAGAAATATAAAACTTATCACATTTTACTGTAGACCTAATCTAACGGGAATCATTGGATGTACTGGGATAAAAAGTATATTGTGCAACTCTCCGGCCTATTATCAGTATCAACCTCTCTTTCAGCAGTAGGTATATATACCCACTGTAGACAATTTAAATACAATTTTCGGACAGTAAATGGTAAAAAATACTAGAGTTTTACAAGCCCAACTATTTGTCAGTAAAAAACAATAACATATATACCTAAAATTTATAGGTCTAATGCCCGATTTCACCAACAACCCATAAGCTACCACGTACGTATGGGATCCCTAGCTTAAAAGTCCCCTGAACTAGCCCCTAAATTAAATTTCGTTTTACCATCGTCTTTGAGCCCATATTTCGAGCACCTAAATTTAGGGGCCTTTTAACATTTAGGCGACCCCTAACTGTCGGTGAAACAGAAACTGTCCCCTAACAACCCCCTAACAATGCTTAGGGGATCCCTTAAATTTAGATGACGTTGGTGAAATCGGGCATAAGTGTAATTGTAGATAGTTTAAATACAAAGATAATCATAACCTAAAGTTTAACTAAACATTCCCCAGTTACTGAAGATATGTAGGTACCCAGTCCGTCCAGTCACTTCGAAACATATATGTACTATTTATTTCAAACATCTATTTACTTTTACCATTTCGTCTTATATAGTAATTGTAATTTACTATTATGTAACGAAATATCGGAGTCAATTTTCGGAAAATACTAATAGACCTATCTACTCTATTATCCATTTATTACTTTAACCGTAATATAAAATATATGTACATATATAGGAAATTGTTAACTCTATGTATAGTATACACTATCTTATATATATAAAAGAAAGTCGTGTTAGTTACACTATTTATAATTCAAGAACGGCTGAACCGATTTGGCTGAAACTTGGTGGGGCGGTAGCTTAGAACCAGGAGACGGACATAGGATACTTTTTAGCCCGTTCGACTGCGTTCCCGTATACAAGACTCAAGAACGGCTGGACCAATTTTTATGATATTTGAATTTTTGGATTTCTCTCATTCCGGAATAGGTTAATACCTAAGTATTATATGGCTAATAACACTGGCTAATAACTATTTATATCTATTTAAAACGTACCTAGCGACGAACCCGAGCGAAGCGAGGGTGAGCCCCTAGTACATATATAAAACGTTTATTATTATTACTTAAACGTCGATATTGGTTTGTAAAAAGTAAATAAATGACTTAATTTTAAATAATCAAATTTTTATTTTAAATAAAACTATCTTTTCGGATTTTGTCGCGGATTTATTTGTATTTTTGTTTCCCGACGTTTCGAATGCTTTACAGCATCCATGGTTAAAGCATTCGAAACGTCGGGAAACAAAAATACAAATAAATCCGCGACAAAATCCGAAAAGATAGTTTTATTTAAAATGTCAAATATTCGCGTAAATCTAAGAAAGTATTATTAATCAAATTTTTACTTTCCACAAACATTGACTGAAAAAAAAGGTGAAATAACATTGAAAGAAACCGTAAATCGAATGAAATGTGAGATGCTCTCTTAATCCTGTAAAATTTACCGAGTCCGAAGACCTGCCGATGTCTTGTACGCCAATCCCAGCATTTGCAATTTGAGTTCACGCATTTTTGTAGCTTCACTGTAACACACATATTTTAGTTTTCTTCAATGATTATTAAATTATAATAAGTAAATTATTAAAGTTACTATCGATTAATATTTACCAAGAAGTTTATACTTAAACTAGCGGACCCGACAGACGTTGTCCTGTCTACACGTCTTTAATTTGAAAATTTCAAACTTTTTTAAGTAAGCTAAAACATTCTGGACCATTTTGATGAAAATTATTATTCCAATTGTGAATCTAAACCATTCCCAGATCCCCTTGAACACACACAAAAAATTTCATCAAAATCGGTCCAGTCGTTTGAGAGAAGTTCAGTGACATACACACTCACAGAAGAATTATATATATAAAGATGTAATAGTTATCTAACTGATTCACTAATGCCTAGACCTAATGACTGAACCTATGGCTAATATAGGTTACCTATAAACTAATAAACATTGCATTTGTATAATGATATGAATAATTAAAGGCAAAGGAAGTCCAGTGGTAGCGCGCTCGCTTGGGAAACCTAGTGAAGTGAATTTAAATCCCGGGTCTCGCACCGATTACCACTTGTCTTAACGGTGAAGTAAAACATCGTGAGGAAACCTGCGTGTCTGAGAAAACCTAGCAAGTTTTCAAAAGACATGTGAAGTCCGCCAACTCGCACTTGGCCAGCGTGGTGGACTGGTGGACGTGGTGGCCTGATTCCCCTCGTACTGAAGGGAGGCCCGTGCCCAGCTGTGGGACGTTAAAAAGGGCTGAATATATGAATAATTACTAGAACAGTTTCTTCTAATATTGTTCAATTTTAAAACCCTAAAGGAATAAATAAAAGTATAAAAAATGGTGGCAAAGTTTATATGTAATTATTAATATTACAAATGCGAAAGTTTGGATGTTTGTTACTCAATCCACCAAAACAGCTGAACGTATCTGGATGAAATTTCGCACAGAGATAGTTAATAGTCTGGAATAGCATATAAGTTACTTTTTATCCCAGAAAAATGTACGATTTCCGTGGGATAGATTTGTTTTTGTTATTCGATGAGTAGAGACGAACCCGAGCGAAACGAAGGTGAGTCGATCGATAGTGGGATAATCCCTCCACGACCGCGGACACGCCGGCGTGTTAGTTAACAACAGATTTCTTAGAATTTTAATTAATTTCTTAGAAATTTACCTGGAGGTGTTAATTCTATAACACATTTCAGGATTTTCGGTAATATCAATTTAAATGCAAAACACCGGACGTAGGTTCGCCAAGTTAGCATCTACTAGGTATTTAACAAAATGACTGAATACCTACAACATGAATTTTCATGATATCTAAAAAGTACTTTAATGACATTTACAAACGAAAGGACAATACGTGACAAGGTGCTTTACACAAAGGCCTGCATCTTAAGGTGAATAATACTCTTTTAACAAAAGTACGTATATATGTAGGTACTATATCAAATACTAGAAAGTAAAGTAAGCAAACTTTTTATTTTCAGTCTACAGCTATTTCGTAAAAGCAAGAATCTTTGTAAAGAAAATGTATGTGGTTATAAATCCTTTGTTTCCACATACATACGTTCGTGTACGCTGCAACTCGAGACGGTCGGTTGCACAAATCAATGTAATGTGCTGCAATCTCAATGAGAAGCCTCGTCTCTCGTCTAGACTCTGTCGAGGCAACGAGTCAGCCTGCATCTGATAGCAGGTAAATAATATAATCAAACGGATCGCAATTAAGGTCTTCTACTTTATACCTTCAGTGGATTCCTTTAGCTTTTAATTAACGCGCAATTTTCTTTGTTCATCTTTCTTTTAATTTTTTTTTTCTCTTTAGTTCTTAGCAATTTTCTAGTTGGTATGCTTATTGTGGATTATTTCTTTAATCCAGCTAAGTCACAACGAAGGTTTTATATTATTTTATTATATAAATATTATTTAGATAGCCTTTAGTTATTAGATATAATAAACCTCTTACATATATTGTGGGTATTACAGATTTAGAATAGAATTTGGTGGGTAGGTTTTATTTCTATGTTCGCATATTTTTATGTCTTGTATAGATAAAATATAAAGAGTTAAAGAAATATTAAGAATAATAATTTTAATTTAGTTCGCTATTTTTTTAAATCAAAATAATTATTAAGCAACACTATTACTACATTTACAAAAGAAAAATATTAATTCGAAAAACTGTTATTTTGATCCGCACAGTAAGAACTTACTACATCTGTCAGTTATGTTTAATTTTATTATTTGTTTTTATTATATTAATTACAGGATCCCACGATGATGGTAGTACCCAGCCATCTTTTAGTACTAGTATAGTATTTTATTATCTGTGGTATTAGTAAGGAAAAAGAAAAATGTGATTTTACGTTTTTCCGTAAAATATTTCCAACTTTTCTTTTCAGAAATATTTGAAAAAAAAATTAGCCGAATAGGGAACAAAAATAATAAAAAAATGGGAAAAAACAAAAAAAAAAAAACAAAAAACAAACGAACTGAGTGAACGAAAGCGACCGAAGATTTTTATTTTTTGTACTTTTTTACATATTAATTACAGTAGGTACAGAGTTTCATACAAACAAATTTCTAAAAATGCTGAAACATGTAAGTATAGATTTAATTGTATTGAAAAGCATGGATAGTTTCGATACCAAGATTAAAGTAATTCTGATCATAAATAAATTCTTTGCCCATATAAACTTTATTATCCCCTTTTACCTCAAAAGGTAAAAAAGGAACCCATATAAGATCACTCTCATGTCCGTCTGTCCGCGTGTCACGCCAAGGTCCTAGGTCCTCATTCAACACGATAAAAAGATATAGGCAAATTTAGAGAACTTGTAAGTATCAAAATTTACCTGAATTTCATTTTTTTTATTTTTCAGAATTTGCCCTTTACTTGTACCTTGCTTTTAACCAAAATTGACAATTCTGGGTCAACCGGAAGTATTTTCGACCCAAAACCTATACGGTACCTAGTTCCCGTTGACCTAGAATCACGAAATTTGGCAAAAAATCAAGGTCTTACGGCACAAATAAAAAAAATTCCTAAAAATAAAAAAAAGTTGAAAATTAAAGTTAAACAAATTTCCTACCAAGTACGGAACCCTCGGTGGGCGAGTCCGACTCGCACTTGTCCGTAATTTTTTATCTTAAAGTCAAACACCACTTTATGTGTATTTCACATTAAGAATGACAGAGTTTCATGTAATCTTTAATCCTCTACTTTCCCCGCTTAGGGGAATCTATTGCCTACATCATATAAGGAATACGTCCTCCAAATTTTACGTTCCTACGACCATGGGTTGATCCATCAGTCAGTCAGGACCACCACAGGATGCACCTATCCTCCTCAGTTGTTCCTGGTCTCACTTCCCGGTACAATATATTCCACAAGTAAGGTGCGAACTATAGTAATATATGATTTGTGATGCGAAAACAATAGAAGCAAAAACCAGGTACAAAAGAGAACCTCACAGTAAATGTAATTAGATCATACGTGTTACGCCTTCCTTTTAAGAAATCTTCCCCATTGATCCAGACATTCTTCGTGGTTGAATTTTGCACTTGGCAACACATTTAACCATTCATTTTTATTTATAAAACTAGCATTGCCCGCGGCTCCGTCCGCGTTCAGATGACCAAAAACCAAATTCTTAGTTTTTACATATTAGTATACTCTTACATTGCAGTTTTTGTATTTTTTCTCAAAGATGAGATATTTTCCCGCGGTAAAAAGAGTCCTACCCATTTGAAAAACTCCAATAGAATCCCACCAAAAGCGACAAAAGCCACATAGAAACCAATAAATCTGTATTGGTTTCTATGTGGCTTTTGTCGCTTTTGATGGGATCCTATTGGAATTTTTAAATAGGGTATATGCTGACCCGGATAACCAGCTATCACTAAACTCCTAAAAACTATAGATTCGGCTTTTGTATCGATAATAATGTTTATTTCAATAAGATTTTCCTAAAAATATTTAATGTACAGATTCGGCTTGTATACAATTTCATTATATGTATAGATTAATTCATAAAAGTGACATCTATCCAATAAAAAGTTAACTAACATAGAGGCTCATGTCGTAAGCATTTGTCACAATAGATGGCGCTATTGAATAAACGATTATTATTTTAATATATTCTATTATTTGTTAATTTAGTTGGCTGTAAAATTTCAATTTATTATAATTCTTATTTACAGGTTTATAATTATCTATACTTACCAATAAATTTATTCAAGTGGATAGCTTGTCTTGGTCTCATTATTTAATTGTTTCTTTAAAATCATGATAGATGGCGCTCATAGTCTCGTATATGTCGTATCAAGTAACAACTGTATTCTTAAACATATAAAATATTTTATATAACTTGAAAACGTATGTAATTCAATAATAATGCTTAATGATATACTAATTATTTTTTTATTTAATATTATTGAGTAAAATTTGCATAGTATAATATTATATAGTTAGAAGACGACTTTACTAAGAAAAAAATATATATAATTAATATATAAATATTCTTTTGTATGTTAAAAAGAGTATTCGAATCTGATTATGAAATTTACCGTGTTTTCCAAGCGACGAGGTGGCCGAGTGGTTAAGGCGTTGGACTGCTAATCCAATGTGCTCTGCACGCGTGGGTTCGAATCCCATCCTCGTCGAATGTTTTTGCTGACTTTGCTTAACATCACATTAGTATAACGAAATATATTATTAATTTATTATTATTTATATTTAACGTAGAATCCATCAATTCTTATAAATTTAAGATTTTTTACCAACTATTCATTAAGATTGATGCACGCTATCATCCAAGATTACTTTTACATGCTTGGCGTGTAATTTGGCAATTATAAATTATAAGTACTACGTATAATGTTTGACAAATTAGTTTAACATTATGTTATATATGTATATGTTACTCATCTTGTACTCTAACACGATTGTGATAGGTGTTTTTGTTTTATCTTCTGTTTACGTTTTAATGTACCTACCAATTTTAAGCTGCTTTTGAATTTTGATACATATTATGAATTCACTTATTGAATTCATTTATTATTCATTTATAGATTCAATTAGAAATTATATAATTTAAAGAAAATTGTAGACATAAAAAAAATGCTTTTAATACACTTAGGGCCCATTGGACAATTAATCGACAATAGATATTTTGATTATGTTATCATATGAAATAAAACATACAAAAAAAAAACGATAACAAAATAATATTATTTTACACTAGTGCAGCATATTATTATTATTTTTTTACTATTCTTAATAATATAGGAAATAACAGCGAATATCGACTTAGTCCGCTTGAAACGTTTAGACCATGATTGACACGAAATTGGTAAAAAATAATTAGGTCAAAGTGATTCTACTATTAAACTAAGCAAACTCAGTATTATAAAAGAGCAACAGGTTTCATTATAATCAATGTTATCGCTGTAATCTCCAGCAAAAAATAGATATACCTAGATAAGAGCGCGCTGTATGTGCGGCTATCATCCGTTACGAATTTATCTATATCTAGACCTGCTTTTATTATCTTATCGAGTAATACCTACTGCCCTTTATTTTACAATTCTTTGCTTGTTATTCATTAGGTGTGCCCGAAGAACACTTATTAGTACGGCAAAAATATATTATTTTTGTATTCGAAGAGGTTTTTAAAACCTTCAAAGTTTTTAGTGACGGTCATGTGCTTGTTTATGAACATAGTGTAGTGCGAAGTTATAAAAAGATACTTTTTAATAATTATTATTTTGTAAATTGGGACAAAGAAATGAGATTGTGAGTATACAGCTATTTTTTACTTTTCGTAAGTATGTAGATGTAATAAAATTGATAGTAGAAAATTAAGATTTGACTAATTAGAAGCCGAAGACTAGTTTTGAATATATCTGCATGGTACAAGCGTTGTACCGTGTTTATCGAAAATTGTTATAAATTTTATGTCTATCTATGTGGGGTGTTGTAATTACGGACTTTTATTATTTCTACTAAGAAAATCAACTATGTTTCGCTAATAAAGAGAAAAGTAAATCTGTGCTTATCGGTCATCATCTCAAAAACGCATTCAGAAGTATAGTATTAAGTTTAAGACCTAATACAAATCTATTCATATAATAAAATTGTAACTAAGTCGAATCTGTACATTAAATATTTTTTGGAAAATCTTATGAAATAGACATTATTATCGATACAGAGGCCGAATCTATAGTTTTTAGAATTTTTGTCTGACTGACTGTCTGTCTGTCTGTTACCGCATCACAGAAAAACCACTGGAGGGATTTTGATAAAATTTGGTATGGTGATAGCTGGTTATCTGGGTCAACATATAGGATACTTTTTACAGCGGGAAAATGTCTCATTTCTGAGAAAAAATACAAAACTGCAATGTAAGAGTATACTAATATGTAAAACCTAAGAATTTGGTTTTGGTCATCAGAACGCGGGCGGAGCCGCGGGCAATGCTAGTAATTAATATAAGACTTATAATTGTAAAGACTATTTGCTTTTTTGTTTTTTTTAAATTGAATTTAGACATTTTTAAAAGATCATAATAAGCCACTCCTTTACTTGCTGCTGATAAGAGTATCCTTTTGCATTATAGTGATAAATTATTAAAGATACCTGCGTATAAGTCATTACGGATTCCTAAACACAATAGTCATCGATATTTCTTATCTTCCCACTGGTCTGTGGGTTTCTGATTATTAGTAAATTACCAAATATAATATTAAGTAAATGACTAAATAAATATCTCAATATCTCAATGTTGGGAAAGGCATGAAGTCCAGTATTGGACCATAATCGATTGATACGATCTAAAAGTATATTTTGAAAGTAAATGCTTCATTTTTCGTACCTTTATATATTACATGTCTTTACAATTAAATAAAATACGACGTTATCTTTTGTACCATACATCGATGATATGAGCTTAAAATTTTTTTTAAACTTTCTATATGTACCGATTGAGTAGATATACCTACCGTGAGGTAAATAGCAGACAAATGGTTTTAGAAAATATAAAAATGGCATGGTTAAAATATCCTCAAAACAAAGTGAGTTCCCGGCGTTTCGTGTTTCTAGTAGTATTTTATACTACATATTTCCTAAACTTCGCGTGTAAATGACATGAATGACGGCAAAATATCCCGCTTGGCATGTTGAAATAAATTGTATTACCATACAAAGTAACAAAATAAAAATCGATTTCATTTAAAAACAAAATATTATGTTTAGACAAGAAAAAATAATATTTCTTCTAGTGTTTCTTAATAACATTATAAATGTAGGTAAGTAGATATATCATAATATACTCACATAAAAAATAGTCAACGAACATTACTTGAACACTATCGTAAAACTAATGCTACTCCGTTTTTTTTTAATTTAAGTAATTTGACTGTGGTCAAATTCTGTAGAATTATTTTGCGGTGTACATGAAATATCTATCCTCAAAATCTTAGTAATGTAGCTTTGATAATTATCGAGTAAAATAGCTGTAACAAACTGACCGAGGGCCATGACGAACTTATAAAGGTTCCATTTTAGCGATTTGCTATGGAAACCATAAATAATCGGGCTACTATTATATACATATTTGATGACACGTTTGGCTCAGTTGGTACTGACCCTATTTGCTATACCAGCAGTCGCGGGTTCGAGTCCCGCTGGGGGCATTCATTTGTGTGATGAGCACGAATGTTTGTACTTCAGTCATGGGTGTTTATATTTATAATGTGTATGTATTTAAAGTCATATATGTGTAGTGTATCAATTATCTGGTATCCATAACACAAGCCTCGTAGCTTACCATGGAACTAGATGGCGCTGTGTGTTAATGTCTCAACATATTTATTTATAAGTATGAAGATAGTATGTCTGTGTGTACGTTTGTTACTTCTTCACGCTGATATAGCTGAACGGATTCGGATTACATTTTCTAGATAGACCATAGTACGAATATACTTGGAGTAATTAATACATAGGCTTTGGTATCTAGGATGCACCTTAATGAAATGAGGGTAACTCGATAGTATAATACTGTACGAAGTTATTTCGTGCTTTAAATTCGGTCTATTATAAGCGTTATCTAATTTATCTTGTTATTTTGTATTGTATGAGTCATACATTATTATTATTGTGTAGTACATAATTATAATTTTGCATTTTATTCATTTGTTTTATTCAGTACCATTTTATTTATTGCTTTCAGAAAAATGTTTTGGGTAATTATTATGTCGGTGATAGCATCAACTAATGTGTATGCACAATTGACTGCACAATCAAGTGTAGCTCCAGAACTTAGAGAATGTTACACTGATCCCTTATTAATAAACAGAAATAATCTTCCTCCAATGACTATGCCGGTTTTGATAGATATTATACAAAAAATTGAAGATAACCCAAATATTAATATGGACTTGAGACAACTAGCCCTTTCATTACTTCACACGTAAGTATCTTTACTTTAGTCTTCATATTATTGTTATTTTGCTTTGTCTCTTTCTTTCGGTTAATTTGATTTATTTTTATTTATATAGGTATAGGCAAGATGGGATAGAATTTCACCAACCAGATATCAGTGTTGGTATATCAACGAGCGTATTACCCTACGCACCTACATTTCATTCATTTCACCGTAATAAATTGCTTTTAACAAGAATCATTACTAATAATCTACAAGTTCTTGGCAATGATACTGTTAATTCTGCCTTAAAGGTAAATATATAAATACTATATACTTCTTCTTCTCCCTGCCCATTTCCCAATCACTTGGGGTCGGCGCAGTACATCTTCTGTACTGCTGATAGGATTTGGCAAAAGTTTTACGACCGGCCGCCTGCCTGACGTCAACCCTCCTTGGGAATGCTATTGTCTCTCTTTGTCTGAACGGTGTCGCGGAAGTCTTGTAATTATTATGCACTTTCAATTTTGTTGTCTTTTAAAACATTTTTTATACTATTACATAAATTTTTAATGTTATTTTCGGATATATTTTAAAATAAATTTAGATTACAAATATTATATACTACACTAAGGTAAATATTCTTATTTTTAATTTTTACTTTCTCATTAATATTTTCGCTTTACAGTGTACTCTTCATCATATGTTTTCAACGACAGTTGACGCACGATTCCGTGGTGACGAAAATAGTTGCAATAATTTCGCACAATATCGCGCTTTGAGAACTATTCGTGATGTAGCAAAGTTAATGAGACAAGATGATGTTGAAATAATCGATGTATCATCTTTGTATGTAAATTTAGATAAAATACCTAATATTTAATTATTTTGCTGATATTTATTGCTAATGCAAATATTTCCTTTTTAAGAAGTTCTATCAATAAAAACGGACAAATGAGACAATTTAACCCTAAAGATGACGTAGAATATACACAACTAAATAATTTAAAATCTGAGCGCCAAGTGCAAGGAGAAAGTGCCTGCCCCATATTGGGTGGCGTTGTCTTCACAAGATGGGGTGCAGTCTCTGCGGGACATGTCGTTGCCGGTATAGCAGGCGGAGCGCAATTTCAGAATGTCCCAATCGCTAACCTAGCAAAGGGTTCAATTATTAATAATCCCAATATCAAGCAAACTGTATCTTCTATATACGTCACGACTTTATCAGGTATGATAAATAAAATTAAGTAACTATACTAAATCTTGTAATATTAAATCAAGAGCATTGAGCAAATCTTGTATATATAAAATTTCATGTACCTATTTCGGACACGGCTCTAACAATTTGGATGAAGTTTTGTATTTAGATAAGGTTTTGCTATTTTAAGTTTACCTATCTATGTAGTCTAAAAATACGCTTTAAAAAAGACACCGAGCGAAGCTCGGTCACCCCGGTGCTTTTAATATAGATAGAAGTGAAAAAAAAATTATTCTATTTCGAAAGGTGTTCGAGATTTTACATTTGATAAGTGATAAAAAATACTATAAGTGCTTTAAGTCTTAAAATATAATTTTAAATATGATTGTAGGAGACTTAGCCGAAGCTGTTCTTATTCAAAACACCGAAAGAGGCAGTCCAACAATTACTATTGGTACTGCTGGTAATTGGAATTCAACTCAGGCTCCAAGATTTTATATGTTGCGCAGTAGACTAGATGTTGAAATGACGGATCCGGAGACCCGGGGTGATATTGATGGTTTCGTGTTAGGCTCTCTCTTAAATTCAGACGCACTAAGCTACAACTCAATGAAACTTTCGCAGCTTCTAGACATGTATTACAGCCCAAGGGTAAGATTTATGGATATTATGTGAATGATTAGTTCTGGATTTGTTGTTTCCCTCTTTTGGGTACTATAATATTTTATCATAATATTCTACTTTTATAATAATTTTAGAACGGAGTAAGCGACCCATCTCGAAGAGCTTGTAATCGGAAGAATTTAAGCACCCAGCTCATAGATTATAATAATTTAATAGAAGAAACCTATGCATTTACGGCTGCTTTAGACACCAATATGCCTTTACGGGGTACAATAATAGGTGGCCTACAAGGACCTGTTAACAGTGCAGTAACCAATTTCCAAAATTATATCAGTAAGTATTTCTTAATTTTTCGTTATCCTTATTTTTAACTAACAGACTCCGCGGGTTTGCTCGCGCTAAAAATACAAAAGAATCTCTAAAAAGGTAGGTTTCATACAAACTTTCCCACTACCCCAATTTTACCCTCTTATGAGATGAATTTTGAAAAATATTATTATTGAAGAGCATTAACACCAAGTTTGAAGTAATTCTGATCATAAATAATTTTTTTGGGTTGTATAATAACCTGTTTTCTCGTAGGAATGACTTAATCTCCCGCGGTAAAAAGTAGCCTATGTCACTCTCTAGCCCTCCAACAATCACCACACAAAAAAATCACGCCAATCCGTCACTCCATTTCGACGTGAAAGAAGGACAAACAAACAAACACACTTTCACATTTATAATATTAGTATAGATATTATAAATGCGAAAGCAGACATTAGTTTCTTTCTACTTTAATAACATTTTTACCTTTTACTATATCTCTTTTTTTACGGATATTAATTTTTTTTACAGCTAACAGTTTAAACGATATAAATTGCGAAATAACTGAAACCTCAAGTAACGATTTTCGACTTAAAACGAATCTCTTCTTGGTGGTCGATGGCGCATGGCAGTATCAAACCATCTATCCTGCCATATCATATCTTCTAGACGGCGTAGAAGTTGGCAAATTTGGATCAAGTGTTACTTTATTGAGTGCTAATGATGGGAGTGTTATAATAAACAAAACGTTTTCATTAGCAGACTTCCATACTGCTTACACTTTATCAAGACATCAATCAAGTATGTTTTACTCAGTTTCTATTTTCTGACAATAGCTATTAAATTTTTTTTAAAGATAGCTAAATTTAGAAATATACATGGTACTTTCGTAGATTTACGCAAACAGTTAACATTTTTAATGAAATTATGTTGTCGGATTTCGTCCTTGTTTTATTTTATACTAGCGACTCACTCTCGCTCCAAACGGATTCGTTCCTACTTACGTTTTAACGTTTAGTATAGATTTCTCAGAGATGAGATATTTTCCCGCAGTAAAAAGTATCCTATATGTTGACCCGGATAACCAGCAGCTATCATCATACCAAATTTCATCAGTCAAAATCTGTCCAGTGATATTCCCGTGATGCGTTCCCGGACAGACAGACAGATAGAAATTCGAAAAACTGTATATGTATAGGCCTCTATATCGACAATAATGACTATTTCAATAAGATTTTCCAAAAAATATTCAATGTACAGATTCTTCCCAGTTAGAATGTTATTATATTATGTACCTATAGATTTTTTGTTCCCGAAGTTTCGAATGCTTTACAAACAAACATGGTCACCGGAGAGACTCAGGTTTTAGACGTCCCAAAAGTTATTATGTACGAGTAGATGTTACAGACAGGCTCTACAAAATTGAATGATTGAAATGTTTGCTGTGACGCATTCGGAAATTCGGCAAAAAATAAACGAAATAAAACTGCGACAAAATCTGAAAAGATAGCTTCATTTAATATATTAAAAAATACATATTATATATTTTAGTGTCGGTTGGTCTAAACCTGGAATCGGCTTTAAGGAACATCAGAACTATGATGCACACTGAACTTGAAAATGAAAAAGCATCTAACTATGTCGGTGGTAATTCAACAGTATTACTATTTTTATTAAGCAATACCGTACAAAACAATCAGTTAGTTAGAGAAGAAGCAAGAATCCTCAACGAAACAGTGCCTGGTAAGATTTCCCAAATTGTATTTCTTTCAACTTATTGTCTTAACTTTTACTATTTATTTATTGTAACCGAGATTTTTATATCGAAATTGTATTAAAATATGTATTTCTTAATAACAATTAATTATTTTCCCTTCTTCAGATTTACGAATTTTGTTTGCGACCTCATCGAATCAATTCGACAATCTATGGGATTTGGTTCGGGATATGCATAACGATATCAAAACAATTTCATTAAATTCAGATGGTGTGAATGTAGTAGAGACTATGTTGCCTGTATTGACAAGTATTCAGCAAGGTATGAATAATCTCAAATATATAAAACTTATATAAATAATAACTTATATAGTAGGATTACACGTAAAAAATATAGTACATAAGGAGAAAATTGACGGCAAAGGTGGACTTATCTGTAACAGAGATCTCTTCCAGTCAGCCTATGTGGCAATATGGGTGAGAAAGATATTTAGTAGATATGTTATTTATTATGACATAGATATGTTATTTAATATGATGAGATATGTCATTTAGCAGAGCAAAAAAGTGCAAATAAAGAAATAAATTTAAAAGTCACTATATATACAAAAAAAAGAAACCAATTATTTAAATATATAGATAACGATATTAATTATTATACATAATTTTATATATTATACTATACATACAAACATACAATACAATACATAATGATGATGATGTTCTCCTAGCCGATTCCGGCTACGGCGGCCAATCTCATTGAGACTAGCCAACTGCGCAGGAGATATTATAGTGCACAAGTGTACGCGCAGACACAACGTGCACTCTCTATTCCTGTCACTCTCTTATTCCGGTGGGACGACACGAGACACGACCAGTGAGAGTTAAGGCGCAGGACCGACGGCTTTACGTGCTCTCCGAGGCACGGGGGTGAAACACCGCCAACTTCCCAACTCCCGGCTGTTACTGAGACTTATAAACAAAAAGACTCAATAATTAAACTTGGCCCGACCCGGGACTCGAACCCAGGAGCTCCGGGTGTGCAGCCGTACATGCTAGCCACTACACCACCGAGGCAGTTGCAATACATAATAACAATACATAATAGATACCATACAATATACATATAATTACTTCTTAGAATATAATTTAGAATATTTATGAAAAATATAGTAAGAGTACAAATACATTCATTTGATTACGTTTCAGTTGGGCGAAGAATTATAAATCCAAATTGTGGCGCTTTATATCCTGACATTTCGTCGGGGATAAGACAATTTGATGACTACGTAGAACCTGGATATACTAACTTTTATTCAATTAGTCCTAATTATTTTTATGGTGATAACAGCAATAGGAGGATCCGTATCACTAGATCCAGCGCGGGAGTGGGCAGTTTAGTAATATGTCACTCACGGGTTTTTGCTCAACCAAGGTAGTTTTTTTTAATATAAATAAATACATACGAATAGAAACTGACAAATAAATATTTTTATATTCTATTGTGTGCTAGGCAAAACTCTACAATATCCGGGCAAGATGAAAATGCTGTTACGTGCCAAACTCTAGCATCAACTGGCAATATAGAAATCAACCTACAGGGTGCATGCTATGGATACTGGACAATCAATTCTTGCCCATTTTTCCATATTTCTGTACAATCAAGTTTAACAAATACCGCATCTTCACTGTCTACATTTTGCACCGGTAAGTGCTTAATACCTTATTTTTATCGTTAGGAAATATTAGGGACCATGTAAAACTTAGAGACTAGTCGACATAACTTTCCCCCCGATTTTATAGGGTGCTGTTGGAGGATGGGTGGTTATGTGTGTGCGTGTGTGCGTGTGCGCGTGCGTGTGCGTGTGCGTGTGCGTGTGCGTGTGCGTGTGCGTGTGCGTGTGTGTGTGTGTGTGTGTGTGTGTGTGTGGGGTGTTTAATCATCTTGTATAATTTAGAGAAAATTGACAGTGATAGACATGCAAACAGACAAACCACTCGAGAGATGTCAAACTTCCGTATCATCGAATGTGCATAGTATTTTTGTACATTTCTAATAATTACACAAAGTTATTATTATTTATAAGATTAATGATATTTGTAAGTACTTCGTTCGTATACTGAGTAAGTAGTAAAGTGTACTCAGTATTCAAAAGTATTAAAGCATCTATTTGAAATATATATTTACTTTAGGGCTCTACATCAGGGCAATACATCATGTATATTTATAAACATTTATACGTTTAATGAACTGTATTATAATACTCTTATCTCTTACAGAGAGCGCTTGCAGGTTCCCGTACAATTTAAGATATCAAGTACAAATAAACGAGTTCGGATGTTACAGCGGATGCAGCAGTGTTGTCGTTAGTGCTTTTCTTTTGATTTGCACATTTATTTTAACTTTCCTTTAAAAAAAAAATTCAATGGAACGTGTGTGTGTTTTACGAATTTATTTCTTTGTGTAATTTAAAATTATTATTAACTAGCTCAAAAATGCATAAAATACTTATTTGTCCATCTATAAGTATAAAAAATAAATAATTCAAACCAATTGTTTAAATTATGAAATTCTACAGTCTAGATGTTTCTTTTAATGCATTTATGAATAAAATTTTATTTAAGAGTATATATAGATTATTATAAATATACCGGTACGTAATGTAGTAAATATATGTATCTTATAGCTATCATTATTTTTTTATGTTATTAATTTAATAGATGTAACTAACCCTAAAGATACAGATTATGTACATTTAAGTAACCCACCGTTGCAAAGCAAATAAATGTAAGTGTAGACATAACATCTACACACCGTAACATAATATAGATATATTACAAACTCGTATTATATAATTCATAATAAACGAAAAGTAATATCGATATTTTATACACAGTTAAATTTTGTCTTTTATTTCAAGTTTACATTATTTGTTTATCTATTTTGTTTATGAATATAGAAATTTGTACTAATATTATAAAGAGGTAAAGTTTGTGAGTTTATGAAATTTTATGGCGTAATCTCTGGATCTACTAAACCGATTTAGATGAAATTTGGTAAGAAGATAAAAATCTATAGAAATCATGTGGCCAGAGTCAGAACAAAGTGCGAGCTGATGGACTTTACTTCACATGTTTTTCGGAAACTATTAGACTTAATCAGACATGTAGGTTTTCTCTCCATAAGAAAATTAGACACTGCGAGACCCGGATTTAAATTCACTTCAGTTGGTTTTCCAAGCGATCGATTGTCAAAACGTTTGTAACTTAGTTAATTTTCGGTAATACAAATTTTAAAAATATTATTTTACGTAGGCACAAGATTATGCTGGACTTAAACATATATATTTTCATTTTTTATTCTTTTTATCTTAACAGTTTACGGAATAAGTTAGTCAATATTAGATTACAATGTACCAGATAGAGCTCAGATTTTGGGCTCTACCGGAGTGTTCCTTAAGGGATGGAGTATTACATGGATGGATGGAGGAAAACTGAGCATTATTAGATTTTTATTTATTTTGTTTTTTACTTCACATACCGGTCGATATTATTATACGACAAATTTTAATGGACGCTTATTTGCTATTAAAGAACAATATATTACAGTTTCCTGCTATACTTAGTGGACATATGACTTTGTTCTTATTTACATGTAGTCACTATCGTACCTTATTATTTATTTTTATTTAGTACTAATTTCATTAATTTCAATATATTTTTAAATAAAACTATCTTTTCGGATTATTTCGCGGATTTATTTTGATTTTTGGTTCCCGACGTTTCGAATGCTTTACAGCATCCATGGTCACGGGAGAGCTGACTGTACAGATTCGTCTCAAAATTTTATTATATGTAAAGATAATTCAATATTTTATTTCGAAGGAATAAAATGCACTATTAAGTTGTATCTTTACTTTAAAATAATTTTATAACATTTAACGGTGAAAACCATTACAATATGTTTAATACACATTCCTAATGATAATAATTGGAATTCTTACGGCAATATTATCAAACTGCAATTTTTCTTAGAAAATAAAATAAATATAATCACGACTCTATTCTATGTAGCTTTTATGCTACCTGATTACCGACGGCCATTGCTATTTGGAAGACAAGTTTAAAAATATGATATAACGCCTTCGACCAACAGTATTATTGTTGATCGAAAGTATATCGCACTTGTTTTCAAACGCGAAGTTAGAATTTGTGTTAACACAATCAGTACTTAGGTATTTTGGATTTTATTCTTTGGTTTGACTCATGGAAGAGTAAAAAGTTTCTTTAGAAAACAAATAAAATCATGCTTACTGATGGTACTAAATAAACATCTCCATTGCTAAGATTTTTTCTTCTACTATCATATTTGCACTTTAAAATGGAACAAAATACTTAGTTGCTAAAATCTAAGAATATTCATAGACATGCAATACTGCGCGATGTTAGAACACGACTGGCATCAAATAAGCGTTGTTACACCTAATTGTGACACGTGCGCCAAGCCTATTTAGCACTTTCCTTGTTTTTTATTCGTGGTTTGACTCATAGACATAGAGATTAGACTGAGCAATACTCTCATGAAACTGAAATCCCTGGTCTAATCTTCAATCATCTAAATCTTGACAACTCTCTAGAGAGAAAACGACTGTGCGGCTAATACCTGTCTTATCCAATTTGAAGTTATATATATTGGAATGTTAAAAAATATAAAACAGTGTAATTGAAAAAAAACTAGTTATAAATGTCTATCTTCAAATTTATCTTACTTCATTTAAAAAAGAAACAAAGATATGTGAAAATAAAATTTAAAAATTTTAAAAAAAAACGAAAAAAAATTTGAAAATTTTAGCGCCTAGCGGGTAATCTAGTGCTTTTTCCTTTACATCATGGCAACACTGTTAGTCTATATGACCAATAGACTATAAGCGGGGGATCGCTTTTATTCAAATTTTCGTACATTTTTAGTTTCAGTCAGTTGTTTAAAGCACTGAGTACAGCTAATTTAAAAGTTACTTGAAAGTTACAGTACAAAGTATGTATACAGTGTGGTCCTGTATTTGGTAATTAATATTAGTATTTATGCAGTTCTGATGTACAGGTGTACTAACTACTAACTGCTGTTAACAGCAATTGTTATAATTAGGAGGAGATGTTTTACGAAGGATTAGGATATCCGAAAAATATAGCAAAAAAACGCCTGAAACTGGCTTAACTGACTTGACTTAATTACGCGTAGAGGGCGCCAAATGTTTGTTACAAATTAAGTACTGTCAATCTCTATAGAAACTGTTTATATTTTACATTTTTATTTATAAAAAACTAAAAAATTGGTCGTTGTGTAGCCTTGGGTTGTAAAGAAACTGGTGTCTATAAGTTTACAAGTAACATTCTAATAAAACTGAAATGGGAAAAAGCACTGAAAATAGTTAACTTTAAATCAAGCGATTATTCGAGGTTATGTAGAAAACATTTCAAGGATACAAATATAGTTAAAACGGTGAATGCCTTTTGACAGGTAACAAACACACAGCGTCCTCGGCCTAAAAGTTTTCAAATCTAGCGCTTATTTAAAGCGCTATTGGCATGAATCTAGCGCTTTTTGAGTCGTCCTAGCGCTGAATGAGTTTTTTGACTGGCAGCACTGGGAAACATAAATAAACAGCTGTTAACTGTCAAATATTGTAATAAATAATTTGTATTTCGTGTCATTTTAAGAATTTAAATACTAACAATGTCTGGAGAAGATTGTGAATCCTTAGATCGGGGAGATTGTGATAGTCAAAAGCCTGATAAAATGTTTACCCTGAAAAAGTGGAATGCAGTAGCTATGTGGAGCTGGGATGTGGAGTGTGATACATGTGCAATTTGCCGCGTTCAAGTCATGGGTAAGTTACTTAAATTGTTATAATATAGTTGCGTATTTAAAGAGATTCTCTACATCTTGATAAGTCCAAAACTCGTCAATAATTTATAGACATTAACTTAGTGATGTTAGTTTAAATGCCTAACGCAAACTGCGGTTTCCAATGTAACATTCATAATTTAAAACAGTTCACATTTACTTTCATAATGTTAGTAACAAGTGCAAAAATATATTTTAAAATTTCTGATTAGCAAAACATTAACATTTTTATGTAGGTATATGATAAAACAACAATGGTTATAGTCATCATTGTAGTTAAAGTATACTTTAATCTGTATATTGGAACTATACTCAAATAAAATTAAATGAGATCCATTAAATTGAAAATTAGTTATGTTACTACCTGTTAACTTAGCAAGTTTTCGAAAGACATCTGAAGTCCGCCAACCCGCACTTGGCCAGCGTGGTGGACTATGGCCTGATCCCCCTCGTATTGAAGGGAGGCCCATGCCCAGCAGTGGAACGTTAAAAAGGGCTGAATACATACATAATATAATAATTGATTTATATATGTATTATATAAATCAAATATTATATTATAAATATGATTACCCATGTATCTATATATTAATATGTGAAGCAAAACATTGAATCCCTTTTTAAGCATATTGCATGTACGAAGGAGGATGGGCTTTGGCATAGTTAAGAGAAGGATTGTAGAAATCCATTTATTGACTTTCTCTTACCCACAAATCTACTTATTAATTATTTATTTATATATAATTACTTCATTAATAATTACTGTTAAAAGATGTAGCATGATGTTAGATAACCTTTATCAATATTACAATATAAAATACTTACATAAGTAATATAAAGATGAAAAATTTGTTTGTCTGTACGTGCAGATCTCTGAATCTATGAGCCTATTTCAAAATTCTTTTGGTTTTAATAGGCTATCTATATAACTTTGAAAAAAGAACCTCAATATCGTTCAAACTTAATAAATTATGGTTGATTTTCAACCACATAGTGATCACTAGTATTTTTAATAGATTAAATTTAATTACAAGTTTTTATTCTCAAATAATTTTTGCTTTGGCAGGATGTAGGAAGGGTCCAGCTATAACTTACATATATTCACCACATGTTATAAATACTACATTAATTCTCTTTTCTGCTCATTCTCATTTTTGGTTAAATAAAAGAACAAAATATGAATTTTTAATAGTTCATTCTCGAGAGGAGTTCTGGATATGTATATCATTGACTACTTATATATCTCTGTAAAATCTAGTTAAAAAAGAAGTAACAAATACTAATTATAAACACAGCATGATTTTGCCTTAATCCCTCAACTACCGTGGACACACCGGCATTACACTTAATAATAGATTTCATAGAAATTTAATCAATTTCTTAGAAATTCACCTGGAGGTGTTAAAATAAATCTGCCTATAACATTTAAATAAAAACATATCATTTTATTTATCTAAATTCTAACTTTATTACAACCATGAAATAAATTTCTTAGTCTACTTAATTCAAATTATTATTTTCACATATTCAACTCATATACAAGACAAATATTTTTAACAAATGAAATTCTCTAATGTTTGAACATTTTTTTATTTAGTGATTTCTTAATTGACTATATATAATAATTGTATAATATAATGTGTATGTGTTCGGGTGAATAGTAGTCATAGATGAAATATATAAAGTGGTTTATGCATGTAAGACTAGGTTACTATTAGGACCACACTCCAAGGCTAGCTAGCGTTTATTATGCAATAACTTAAATTATATCTTGCCAATTTAAATTTAGCTTCTTTTTTAAAAATACATCTATATCGACAATGGTGTGGGGTGGGAATAATTCCCCAAAAGTATTCTATTAATGTATTACTTTTTAGATTCTCTATTAATTTTTTAATAAATACTTTTTTAATATATAAAATATGATAAATATTTGTATTTTACTCTAAAAATATGATTAAAATTTTTTTTTATTTAATTCTTATAATAATACAAAAAGCATTATGATATTATAATCCAAAATATTAATTAATTAAGTATTTAATAATTATTATTAATATAATAACTAAATAAAATTTAATAAATATAATAGTTTTATCTCTCAGAGGAAAGTGAGGTTATATTTGCTATAGTATTTTGGTATTTTAAGTAATAGCAAGAGTAAATTAATTTATTATAATTAATATATTCAATATGCACCGTAAGGAGCGATAAGTGAATGCTACTAATATGGCACATCTCTACGGCTGCGTAAAAACTAAATTGTACTTAAAAATACATACAAAATAATGATATATAAGCTTACTACCCTTTCCCGCGGCTCCCGCCCGCGTTCAGATAACCAAAAAAAAACAAATTCTTAGCTTTTTACAGTTTAGTATACTCTTACGTTGCAGTTTTTGCATTTTTTCTCAGAAATGAGATATTTTCCCGCGATAAAAAATATCCTATATGTTGACCCGGATAACCAGCTATCACCATACCAAATTTCATCAAAATCCCTCTAGTGGTTTTTCTGTGATGCGATAACAGACAGACAGACAAAAATTCTAAAAAGTATAGATTCGGCCTCTGTATCGATAATAATGACTATTTCAATAAGATTTTCTAAAAAAAATATTTAATGTACAGATTTGGCTTAGTTACAATTTTATTATATGTATAGATCTCTCACGTCTGCATAAGCGTATCTCATAAAGATATGGGGTTTCTCATGGACATAAAAAAATATCACCCCATACCTACAAGTATAGAGTGGCACGCCTATTTTCTTTTGTAATTTGACTACATAATTGTCTAGCTATTTACGTAAGATACACATGAACTTTTCCGCAATGGTCTTCGAATAAAATGTTTGTGACATACGGACAGACGGACAGATTATTTAATTATAAGGGTTCCGTTTTGGCCATTTGGCTACAGAACTCTAATGAAAAAAAGAACTTGTTGGCATTGCCACGAAGCTTTTTTCTTTTCCCTATCCCTTATATTTTAGGAAACTAAATGGTTTGTATGACAACACCATACAAGTTTCGTAAACCAAAATTACAGTACTTATTAAGCTTAATAAATTAAACTAATAAACTTATTATATTTGAAACCAGCTATTATCATACCAAATTTCATCAAAATCCCTCCAGTGGTTTGTGATGCGGTTTATTATATGCATAGATCGTAACCGCTGTAATAAATATTATGCTAGCAAAGCCCTAGAAAAACTCATTCAAAATATAATATATTTGATAAGTACTTTTCTTAATAAAAAATATTTACTTATTTCATAAATGTGTTTCTTTTTGAAGTCGATTTACTTTTTTTAAATTACTTTTGCATTAAAGATGACTTTTAATATATTCTTTCAATATGATCAGGTTTGATTCAATTTTAATTTTATTTTGTTCTTTTTAGAGCATTTACTTAAATAAAAGCTTGTTTTTAAAAATGTAATTTTACTATTAATTTTTTTATGTTGTATATTTATGTAAAGTTAAGACGTATTTATAATTTTTTTAAGCTTTTTTGGGCAGATTTTTTTACCTCGCAATCAGTATAGGCCAGTAAAAATAGAATTTAATTTAAAAAAAAAACGTCTATTTTTACTGGCTTAGTAAGTAAGATCTAGCAACCACTTGGAAGTGGTTTTATATTTGCGATTGAACTCAATCTTCGAGTTCTTGCTTTTCTACCGGTCATTTTGCTTTCGATTTGTTCTAGACTTTTTCCTCGTGTCTCGGGAACAAATATAACTACAAAGAATAAACCTATAAAACATATACAACCGAATAACCAAAACGTCCCTGCTGGACCTATTGCGACCAAAATGTTATGAAATGTTTTTGTAACTATAAATGTACATAGCCAATTAAAAGCAGTGCAAATTGACGCGGCTCCCCCTCTAATTTTTGCGGGTAATATTTCACCCATCATTAACCAAGGTATCGGCCCAAAAGCCAGTGAGAAACCAAGCAAGTATATCATAAGACTCGTAAGAGGAAGCCACCCTAGTTTAGAAACATCCATATTTAAATTATCGCGAACATAAAAAAATGTACCTAATATAACTAGTGTCACAGTCATAATCACCGAAGAAATATAGAGCAAAATTTTACGTCCTGCCCTATCTATAAATGCAGTAGCGATAAATGTTGAAATAAAATTAACTAAGCCGACTATAATTGTAGATAAATTTTCATTAACAGCACTACCAGACATCTGAAATATTGTAACCGTGTAAAATATTACCGCATTTATTCCTGATAGCTGTTGAAAAAGCATTAGTCCTAACGATATAAATATTGCCTTCATGTATTTCATACTTAACATTTCTCTAATTGAACAATCTTTGTCAATCTCGGCATCACTGAGAGCTATATCACGCATTTCATTATCAATTTTTGCCTTACTGCCTCGAAGCCATTGTAAAGCTTTACGCGCTTCCTCGTGTCGGCCGCGAGATATATACCATCGGGGGGTTTCCGGGATCATAAACATTAATAATAAGAAAGGTATAGGAAGAGACGCGCCAAGATAAGCTAACTGTGACCAATCTAGGTATTTACCAGCAACGTAGCATATAAGAATGCCTATATTTCCAATAGCTGTAGGAAACAGTCCCAAAGTACCGCGGACCTCGGGTTGAATCGTTTCACCTAAATAAACAGGAAAGGCTAGAGAACCAATACCGACACACAGTCCACATATGGCTCGCCCGGTAAACACTAAGTGAACAGTTCTAGCTGTAGCTATAAATATCCAGCCAATGAAGAAGGGCACCGCCGTGAAAAGAATAGTCTTGCGTCGGCCGATGTAGTCTACTAAGGGGCCCCCAAGTACTCCTCCTGCTAGAGCAGCCAATGGCATTAAGCCACCAACCCAACTTGCCTGTCAATGAAAAAACATTTTGATTTCGTTTTGTGAAAATATAAATAAAATCCTATAATTATTAAAATTCTCAACGTATATGTTGTTAGATTAATTATACACAAAAGTTCTTTTTAAATATTTTAAATAAAACTATCTTTTCGGATTTTTTCGAGGATTTATTTGGATTTTTGGTTCCCGACGCAACGTTTCGAATGCTTTACAGCAATCATGGTCATGGGAGAGACTGAGGTGTTAGATGTCTCAAAGGTATAGTTGTTACAGATGGTTGATGACAAATGGTTAAAGAGATAATATGACATACACGTAGGTTTGGAACCGCGACCCTGTCGTAACCTATTGAGTGATATTTCTTTAAGATGGTTTTTTTCATATAAAATACGTCAATCTATCCAAACTAATATTATAAAGAGGTAAAGTTTATGAGTTTGTAAATTGTGAGCTTGTGACGTTGTAGGGGGTAATCTCTAGATCTACTAAACTGATTTAGATAAAATTTGGTAAGAAGATAGTTTGAGACCCTGGAAAGGACATAGGATACTTTTTATCCCGGTAATTATCCCTTAAGGGGGTGAAAATGGGGATGAAACTTTGTATGGGGAAGCAAGCTTGGGACAAACCCGAGCGAAGTGAGGGTGAGCCGCTAGTTATATTTATAACCATAAAGAAATAAAATATTAATTATTTAAGCCACATAATTGCTCTATGTGTAATTTAAAAAGTTAAACTTAAGTTGATTAATCAAGAATAATAATTTTAATTTAGTTTGCTATTATTTCAGCAACACTATTACTACATACATTTACAAATTAAAAAATGAACAATATTAATTTGAATTGCTGTCATTTTGATCCACACAGAACTTACTACACCTCAGTCTCTCCCGTGACCACGATTGCTGTAAAGTATTCGAAACGTCGGGAACCAAAAATCCAAATAAATCCGCGAAAAAATCCGAAAAGATAGTTTTATTTAAAATGTCAAATATTCGCGTAAATCTAAGAAAGTATTATGTGAATAAAAGTTCTTGTTAGGTGTTATATTTGTTAAACTTTCTGTAACTTCCTATATATTTATATATATAATTCTTCTGTGAGTGTGTATGTCATTGAACTTCTCTCAAACGACTGGACCGATTTTGATGAAATTTTTTGTGTGTGTTCAAGGGGATCTGGGAATGGCTTAGATTCACAATTTGAATAATAAAATTCATCAAAAAAATTATTAAAAAAAGTTTGAAATTTTCAAATTAAAGACGTGTAGACAGGACAACGTCTGTCGGGTCCGCTAGTTATATATACTTTTGATACGAACCTCTTCCGCGGTAACAGATATTTTAGTACTGTTTTGCATAGTGACGAGTGCCGGTGACGTGTATGCGGATGAAAACCCAATTATCATTGAGCCCATAGACACAGCCACTGCTGCTAATACCTATAAAAATGTTAAAATATACAATGTAATTGAAAAATTGTGTGTGTGTGTGATGCGTTCTTGTATCAAAGTAATTAATTTTGAACTATAACGTATCACAGATCGAAAGAAAATTATTAAAACACATAAAACACTTGAATTAAAGATAATTCCTTTCTTATAGTCTTAACTAGCATTGCCCGCGGCTCCGCCCGCGTTCAGATGACCAAAAACCAAATTTTTTGGTTTTACATATTAGTATACTCTTACATTGCAATTTATATATTTTTTCTTAAAAATGAGATATTTTTCCGCGGTAAAAAGTATCCTATATGTTGACCCGGATAACCAGCTATCACCATACCAAATTTCATCAAAATCCCTCCAGTGGTTTTTCTGTGATGCGGTAACAGACAGAAAGACAGACAGACAAAAATTCTTAAAACTATAGATTCGGCCTCTGTATCAATAATAATGTCTATTCCAATAAGATTTTCCAAAAAATATTTAATGTACAGATCCATCCGGCTTAGTTACAATTTTATTATATGTATAGATAAATAAGCATGGAGTTATTAAAATGGCATTTGTATACTTGTCTATGTAGAAACTACATAAAGACACCTTAAAACTGCCTTTAAGCGCAGGGGTCCAAAAATGTCATCTAATATGGTTTTCAAAAAAGGAGTGAGATTTAGAGGAATACCTTTCAAACTAACTTTTTCTGATAATATTAAAATTATTAAAGTAGCCGAACTTCATTAAGTACTGTTGTTTTGCTCGCTTTTGGGGTGATGCCAATCTTGTGAGTTTCAACGCCACCAAAACACAGGCGTGCCTGTTCACATCAAAACGGAGTCCTTTTACCTTGACCCCTACTTTCCGGAATGTGCCTCTGGAATACACTGACCGTCTGCAGTTGTTGGGCATGGACATTCGCCCCAATATGAACTACGGGCGGTTCATTGAGTCTAGGGCTAATGTCGCAGCGAGGAAAGTTGGCATACTAGCAAAGGTCCGACAGTATTTCACACCGGGACAGCTTCTTGTTTTATATAAAGCTCAAGTCCGGTCGTGTGTGGAATACTGTAGTCACATTTGGGCTGGTGCTGCGAAGTGCCATCTGTCAGCCTTAGACTCAATTGAGAGGCGTGCCCTCAGGCTTATTGGTGACCCTACGCTGGTAAAAGCTAACTTACAAAGCCTCGATCACCGACGTAGGGTTGCCAGCCTTTGTGTATTCTATAGGTTACATTTCGGAGAGTGTGCGCAGGAACTACACGGCTTGATTCCTCCATCTCCTTTCTACCATCGGACAACCCGACGAACGGCTGGTCTCCATCCTTATGTCGTGGACATTCCACCCGTCCGGACGAAGCGTTTCGCTACGTCATTCATTATACGTGCGGCTAAGGATTGGAACAACCTGCCGGCGTCGGTGTTTCCGTCCGAGTACAACATGGGTGTCTTCAAGGCAAGAGTGAATAGGTGGCTACTGAATTAGTGTGATTTACCATCTACGACTGCGTTACCACTTACCATCAGGTGGATCGCAGTCAAGCACTAATTCAGAATACAATAAAAAAAAAAAAAAAAAAAAAAAAAAAAAAAAAAAAAAAAAAAAAAAAAAAAAAAAAAAAAAAAACTACGTTCAAGTAGTAAGCGATAGGCATCTCGATAAAAAGTAGGCCTCCTTGCTTATTAAATTAATTTTTCTAGAATATCCTAGAATTGAATATGAATATGAATTCGGAATTAAAATATATTACACGAATAACTAAATATAAAATAAATAATATATACAAGCAACAAGCTCTCACTCTGTTTACAACATGTAAATAAATTGAACATTACTTATTACAGGGATTTTTACTTATGTGTATGAACTGCGTACAACCAATTTAAGCAATCATCAACAATGATTGTCTCCACTTACATGTGGAGTGTAGTGTAACACTAAATCAGTTCGCGTAATCAATATTGTTACAGCATAAATTAAACGTTTATAAATTTATCCTATAATGGAAAATTATTACAATAGCAACCGTATAAATGTACATGCCGATATATTGTTTACTTCCACAATAGTGTTCATAAACCGATAGCGTAATAAACCATGGTAAATGGAAACTATATGCACGAATGAAATACTGAAGTGATCTATGATACCAGATATTTCCTGTGACTTTACACCTATTTCAATTTTACATAATCATTTTCACGATCACGTAGTATTTGCGTACAATTTTATTTAACTACCGCCAAATAAAATTATCCCACGGGAGCCGTACATTTTTCCAGGATTATATATAACCTATAATCTTCCTCAATAAACGGTTATCTAATGCAAAAGGAATTTTTCAAATCGGGTTAGTTGTTCCTGAGATTAGTGCATTCAAACAAAAAACAAACAAACTTTGTCTCTTTATCATATTGTATTTACTCATTATCCGTCCCGCCATATTTTCCTTTTACTATTGCTTACTATATTAACTTTAATTCGTAGTTCGGAACTAAAATCTAAGTACTACAAAAGTAATTCCATCTTTATATAGGATCTTATAGCAAGAAGAATTCAAGCCATAATGAATTTGCCATAATTTAGATGTATTTAAAGGATTTTGTTATTTGTTAGGTATATTTATTGATATAAAGCCGCGGGTCGCTTTATACTTACCGAGAAATGTTAATTTTTTCATGGTCCGCGCGTCTAATAGTTACATAAAATCCAGATAAAGTTTCTTTTATGTTTTGTTTAGATTTTTTTATCGTAACATAAATCAGTAATTGTGATCTTTTAAATGAATAATATTAATAACATATATGTATATACTATTATACATTGATAACTGAATTTTATTTTGATGCTTCTTAAATAAAAATGTATTAAAAAAAAAACATATAAATTCAATTTTTTAAATAGAAATGTTGTTATAAAAGCACATAATATAATTTTGTTAGTATTTTGTAGAATTATGTTACGTTCACATTACACATAGTACGTACCTGTGAAAATGTATATTTGGGCTTTTCATAATCACTACCACTCACTACTATACTGTAATGTGTGTCTGCTCTCATCAATATCTTCATTTTGTTATATTAATTATTTCCCTGCTATCATTAAAATAAAAAAAAAATCAGATCGAGTGACGTTATTCGTGTACACTGTACACTGAAAACAATGTAACATGCGCGTGTTGTATCGAAGAAATGACCATCTCTCGCCGTCTTAGCGATTTATATGAGAACAAATTGATTGATAGAACTTCTGAACAAATTGGCTGTCGAGGTTGCGTTATTCAAAAGGTTTCTACCTCAGAAACCAAATTAAATAATAAGCAAACGCTTTTCTTAAACAATTGCGTTTTTGTAGATTTTTTGTAATAATTTCTAAAATACTTATAATTGTTTTACAGGTGGTTAAACTTATATCATTGTTTTATGACTTAAATAAAGAGGCCACAGTTTGAACAATATTGGGGAGTTATTATTAATATCTGCTAATGCAACTTTTATATTTATTCAATTAGCAACATATATATGTTGACTTAAGACTAAAAATATTTTAATGCGTTTATTATAAAAGTAATAACAAAATTATAGAATCTGTTATATCTGGGTATAAAATACTTATAATCTAGATATATATTACACTTAGGTGACACTATACCTATGTACTACATATTTACCCCCAATATCTAGAAACGTAACTTAGAAACTTGGGATTTATATCAATGTAAATTATTTGAGGCTAAAACACCGATTAACTTTTTTTTTATACCACGACGGTGGCAATCAGGCATGCGGCCCGCCTGTTGGTAAGCGGTTACCGCAGCCTATGGACGCCTGCAACACCAGGGGCATCACATGCGCGTTGACCCTTTGAGAACCTATTTACTACCCTTTTGAAGGGCCCTAATTAATTTATTATTATTTACCTAAAAATATCATTATATAAATCGGACAAGTGAGAGTCTGACTTGAACACCAAGGTTTCCGTACTACCACACATATTATATTAGTACGTATATATTAGTACGTAGTTTTTACCACTATTCAAATATACCTACCTCTCTCGCTTATTTTAAGTGATTTTTTCAACATGTATGGGGTGTCATTTTTTTTTAATATCTAGCAATATCTAGCGGCTTCCACGAGGAACATATCATCCTGAGCTGTATAGTATCTTTTAAGTCAGCGTTAAATTATTCCAATTTATACTAAATGTCATAAGACTTTATTTCTTTTATGAACAAACAAACTTTACGTCTTAATAGTAGAGTAGATGAACGTAGATGTAGTAACTTAGTATTTACTGTTTCTCTACATATGTTGTTTATAAAACAGCGTACCTATCTAGTCCTAGTAAACAAAATCGCTGGATGCAATCCACGTTTAACAGATACGTAATAACAACTATCATGTGATAAAGAAACAAATATCTAAAGTACGAACCTCATCATACAATAATTTAAGTAATTAAAAAAAAAGAGCTTAAAAGTAAGTGATCATTTGAATTTTTCTTCTTTTGTTCCAACTCAAGCGACTTTGACACTGATATTAGTGTGATCCCGAAAAAAGCCCAAATTGGATTTCCCTGACTTAATTAAGTAAAACAATTGCGGCAATTCCCGACTGTACTGATAAAAAGATAGATATTTGTATTTGTGATATTATAAAAGAGAAGAGATTTAAGCTATTTTACTTCAATCTAAGTAATAATCAAATCAAGTTGGTATAGTTCTATTGTATTTGTTATATAGAAAATGTACTCTTACATTTTCTTTATATAAATAAACCTAACTACAAAATAATAATTCTAGGCAACTTGTGTATAGAGTGAAATTTTGAAGTAGGTGTGGATGAATAATAATTATTATAGTAGGGAAGCCCAAGAGGGGATTTTTGGAATTACTTGAGCGCGGCAGATTAACAAGAGTGGGGATAGAGGCGAGAACCTTGCACTCTGTTGAGTACCTCCACCATGATATAAGTCCTCTATATATGAGCGCGCGTCTATGGCAGCCTTGAGTAATTCTAAAAATCCCCTCTTGGACTCCCCTACTATAAGATAAAACTGCATTATTACAAGTATGAAAAATTATTTGATATAGGAATAATTTTGTATTTATGTTTTTTTTAAACTTGGGGTTTGATTTACTACTAATATAGTTAATTTTCAAAAACCTTATAAAAAATTTCAAGGCACGAGGTAGCGTGTCCATCCAAGTTCAAACCAAAGGTATTGGCGACGCAGCACCGTGTGTATATTATATACGAACCATTTGGAGCCACTTTTCACCTCGTAATAACTCAAGAATATTTAATATAAACTCATTAAATTTGGTTCAATTATTAAATCTGCTTAGATTAACTAGAATCCCCAATTTCATAAATACAGCTCAAACGGTTATTGAGATATTAAAGTCTAAAAATAGGCATTTTTATCACTGACTGTCATATAGTAGTAAAACCTAACCCACTTCCAGATGACCTAGAAAGTTGAAATTTGGTGTCCAGATGGGTAATCGTGTGCATACAAAGGAAAAAATCCGAAAACAGTATATTTTAAAAATTTGTAGAAACAAAAAAGTGCCTTCCATAACATAATAGCAATAGCTTAACACCTAGTGCCTTTTGAAATATAATAGCAATAGCAATCATAGTAATAGCAAAAACTTTTCTTTCTCAGTAGAAAAGGTTCCACGATGATTAAATAACATTTTCCTGTGCCGCCTTATCCGCTGACAAATAGTCGCAAAATTATGAAAAAAAAGATATTGAATTTACATTTCACTTTGGAATTATGAATATAATAATAGTTTTTCTACAAAAAGTCATGATATCCTATATCATGACATAGATAATCCTGAATTTTTTTCATAAGAACATACAACATTATAAAATAAATTTAAAATACAATTTCATGTTTTTTTTCTGCTACAGAAGTGTTTGCTGTTTAAAAATAGAACTTCTTAAATTTGAACAGTCCAATTATTTACACAGAGTAATAAGGTAGGATAAATAGAAGTTCCCCCCCAACGTGCGTTCACCTTGTCGTGGTGGGGGGGGGCTCAGTAGTGCCCGGCAATCCAACCGGGCGCGAAGCTAAGAAACGCACTGGGAGGTTGCCCACTTCGGTGGGCGGTGGGAGGTGGCCCTCTTCGGGGGGCGGTGTACCATGCGGGTTGCTCCTGGTACTTCTCTGATAGCAGAGTGGACTGTGGAGCAACCCCATGGTTGTGGTGGTCTGCTTCGGCAGACCTGCCGTCGGGGCGTCGTAGTTGAATGCGTAAGCGATCCTGCGACGCCCCGTTAAGACGGGGGAAGGTTTTGTTGGGTTTTAGTGGGTAGTACTGGCTGTATTACGCCGGTGAGTTCCACACGTCGTGCGTAAATGCATTTCCCAACGTTAAAAAAAAAAGGATAAATAGAAGTTCACGATTTCTAATTTTTACATACAATAATACTTTCTTAGATTTACGCGAATATTTGACATTTTAAATAAAACTATCTTTTCGGATTTTGTCGCGGATTTATTTGTATTTTTGTTTCCCGACGTTTCGAATGCTTTACAGCATCCATGGTCACGGGAGAGACTGAGGTGTTACATGTCTTAAAGATATAGTTGTTACAGACAGCCTACCCACAATTAACAAAATGAAAATTGCACCAATTACATTACAATATTTTAACTTTAAATATTTTTATAATTTTAATTATAATTGAATATGGAAAATTATTTATTTAATTTTTGCTATTATTTTTATAATTATTACAATTTTAAAAATATTAATTAACAATCTATATTTAGTGTTGCCATTATTATATTCATAACCATAAGAAAAATATAAAATATAGTATTAATTATTTAAGCCACAATTGATCTATGTGTAATTTGAAAAAGTTAAGATTAATTAAAAAATAATAATTTTAATTTAAATTTGCTATTATTTAAAAACAAATTATTAAGCAACACATTACTACATACATTTACAAATGAAAAAGTGAAAAAATATTATTAATCAGAAATGCTATCATTTTGATCTACACAGTAAGAACTTACTACATCTACCTGTCTGTTATGTTTAGATTTATTATTAGATTTTATTATATTAATAACAGGATCCCATGACGATGGTAGTACCCAGCCATCTTCCCTATTGAAATTAGGATGTTTTTTAATTTCTATGGCTTCTCGAATCATTCTAGGGCGATATCGGTTTTCTTTCGCCAGGATTTGAGGCCTATCGAAGCGAATATAATGGCTTGGACGGTCCTGACTGTGTTTGCAGACAGCAGATGTTGTATTGCGACGGTGCTTCACATCAGCTATGTGTTCTTTGACCCGGGTTCTAATGGATCTCTTTGTTTGTCCGATGTAAGAGAGCCCACAATCACAATCAAGCTTGTAAACTCCTGCATCTTGTAGAGGGATGTGGCACTTGACAGGTGGTAGAAACTGACTAATTTTCTTTGGCGGCTTGAAGTAAGTTTTAATTGAAGCTCGCTTTAGAATGTAGCCAATCTTGTCAGTGACGCCTCTCATGTAAGGTAGGACTGCAGGGACGCGCTCGACTGTGGCTGGTTTCACTCGGTCCCTGTGACGTAGGCGCGGCACTTGCAGCTTGTTGTCTCGCAGAACTTGCTTGACATGTTGCAGTTCTCCGGCCAGGTGTTGCTCGTCACAGATCCCGCGTGCCCTCTGAAACAAAGATTTTCCCACGGTAGCTAACTGTGAAGGGGGGTGGTGAGATTCACCATTCAAGTACCTATCAGTATGGGTCTTCTTTCGATACACAGTATGACTCAAGGTGTTATCTGGGTTACGTATGACTAATACATCTAAGAAAGCTAAAGAATTATTAGACTCCAATTCCATTGTAAATTGTATTTTAGGGTTTATGGAGTTAAGATGTTCTAAGAATACAGATATTTTATCAGATGGTAATATTGTGAAAGTGTCATCTACATACCGCTTGTAGAAACGAGGGGTCACAGGTGATGTGTTTAGGGCGGTCTCCTCGAAGGCCTCCATGAAGATGTCAGCTACAACGGGAGAGACCGGCGAACCCATGGCCACTCCATCC